CTTTCTCTTTTTCTCTCTTTCTCTCTTTCTCTCTTTCTCTCTTTCTCTCTTTCTCTCTTTCTCTTTCTCTATCTCTCTCTCTCTTTCTCTCTCTCTCTCTCTTCCTACCCTCTTTTTTCCGCTTTCTTCGGGTGCAACTGTTTAAGGCAGTCCAATACATAAGCAGCCCAGCGGGGTATAAGCTTAGCCTTGAGCTCCAAAGGTCCTAACTCATCTGCCTCTTCTCTCTTTCTCTCTTTCTCTCTTTCTTTCTTTGTCTCTTTCTCTCTCTCTCTCTGTCTTTCTCTCTCTCTCTTTCTCTTTCTCTTTCTCTTTCTCTTTCTCTTTCTCTCTCTCTCTCTCTATACAATCTTTTTTCCCGCTTTCTTCGGGGTTGGTGCAAGTGTTTAAGGCAATTCAGTACATAAGCAGCCCAGCGGGATGCAAGTGTTTCCTCTCTCTCTCTCTATGCTCAGCCTATACCCCGCTGAGCTGCTTCTGTATTTAATTGATTCAATTAATTAGATGAGAACTCAAAGAAAAGTGAAAAAGATATATGGCGAGGGAAGAGGCAGATTAGTTAGGACTTTTGGGGCTGAAGGCTGTCTGCAGCACAATGTACATTCCTACCAAACACATAGATCAGACTGGGGAGGAAAGCCTTCCACTACTTTGACATGTGAGTTAGGAGCATTCACTTACTCGGAAAGCGGCAGTTACCATTACCAACAGTTTTGCCAGTTTGCGCTGTGGCCGTGTAAAGTTGAACCAAATGGCTCATGAGTATGCACTGTATACACACACACGAGATGGGATTACCATGAATTCAACCCAAATCTAAATCCCAACTCATGTGACATGTCGCGTGCTCCAAAGGCCTCACTTAACTACATGAGATGGGACTCAACAACCAATTTTTACTCATCTATTTCCTAACTCATATCTCATTTTCAGCTATTCTCAGGACGCTCCAGTGCTGCGATAGCCACTTGAGTTAGGAGTTACCCTGGCAACTCCTATCTCACAGAGGGACACTGCTCAAAACATAGAAAATTTAATACTGATTTTCATGTTTTTTTGGTTTAAAATGCGCTAAAACCCCTCCTGAGTTAGGACTTACATACATTTTTTCGATCCAAAAAACAATTTTTACATGAGTTAGGAAATTCAATTTTCTGGTTCGTCCGCAGAGGCCTAAGTCATCCTGACCTAGTATATATATTATATATATATGTGCATGTAAATAGGTCCTATCCCCCACCACTGGCGATAATTTCACAAGCACTCAAGCAGTCAAACACATAGGCACTGCAGTGGAATGTTCACCTCAGAACTGTTGGCCCTTAAAAAAAATATCGCCTCGCCACGCCAGAAAGTTTTCTGGAAAGTTGGCCGAACTCGTGGAACCCAAAGTATTCTTCCTGAAGAAAGAAAGTAGGTGTAAGAGTGTACTATAGGAAGAATATAGTACTATAGTACATGGTATTGCACTATTAGTAATATAGTACTATAGTCTATAGTGTATTGTACTATTGGATTGTGATTTCCAACATTTTCCAACACTAGTACTACTAGTACTGCAACTAGGCGTCCCTGCCAACCTTTGTTAGGCCCTTGCCATAGCTGGCAGAGACGCAAATGCGATGCCCCTCACCTGGACTGGTCATTGGGGATGGTGATCATTGGGAATTCCTAAATAGTTAATTAGTTACAGTAGATGTTTTTTGCAATTACCCTATGGTTTCCCATATGTTCACCTTTCAAAGGAGTATGAAAATACTAGGTACATTAATATGGGAATGGGACAAAGCCTATGATTCACCATCTTTGTGAGGAAGAATATATATATGCATTTAAAAATTAGATTTGTTTAAACAAATAATCATCAAACGCAGCTGCTTGAAAGTTTGGTGTTCGCAAGGCAGGGTTTTGCCATGGTTTTGTCCTATAGCGCCTATACCCCATGTCCCCATATCACCATGATCCCAGTTTCATAAGGATCAACCCACTCTGCCCAGGGGCTGTAGAGGAAGCTACCTGCACCCCGATACTCCGGCCTCGGACAAAAGGGGATTCGCCAAGCAAAAGTCGCCAAGTAAAAATTACGGTGGGCGGTGGGGTGCAAAAACAAAGGGTTGCCAACCATTCTGGGTCATCATGGCAGAGTATGGTGGTTTGCAGAATGTTGGGTGGTTTGGACTAACATCTGGGCTTAAGTGGGCTTCGACAGCATGGAACATGGTCCATATCTGCAGCCAGCAACAAGGAATGGAGGTTCCAAGGCCGAAGCGAAGGGGGACCACACTTTCAGCCAAAGATCAGTTGAAACTTCTGCCATCCAAATAGACTGATGAACCTTTGAGTAGGCTTTCGGTAGAATTTCCGTAGCTGTAGCGTTATGATGTTTGAAGTTGCAAAGCCATCAGCCTGTAATTACGGACTTTGATGGTGAAGGATATTGAATGCCCCCAAAGTGCTCCTTGAAAGGAATGCCCAACATGAGCTCTCTGTACCAAAGTGCGTGTGCTGGTGTCGACACTTTCCGTTTTATCTTACTGTATCTCCGTGCTTGTACGACAAAAATATTCATATTACTTTCTCAGAAACTCTTCCATGACACATGATCATTCAAGACCATTCTGGGCAGGTTGTAGCAGCAAAATCTTATTGTTGAGCTCTTTCCAAAACCGGTTGTGAATTGAGGAACTTTCAATGATTTTCGTGGCTCATATCATATATGTGTTTATCTGATTTTTTGGGGGAAAGGCCTCCAAATTTGCTGCTTTATCATATGTTTTTCCATTAAAATATATTAAAATCATTTCACATTGCTGCTGTTTTAGAGGTATACCACCATATACCACCATTTTCAGGCAAAGCCAGCTGGTGTAATCTAGGTCATGTCATCCAAAGATCACCCAGTGCGGCTTGATCAACACGGCAGGGTCGGGCTTAGGTGCCCGGCATCGCCACGCACAACGCGGCGCCGTTTTGCGCGGGGTGTTGTGATCAGAAAATGGGGGATGGGCCCCCAATTTATGGCGATGTTCATGTGTAAAATGATGATCAATTGATGATCAATTGATAAAGCACTGGATGTTGCGGTAAGCTATTCTTGGGAGAAAGCCAGATGTGGTGACCGAAATGTCGGCATTCTCCGGATGTTTTATGTGTCTGGGTGTGGCATTGCTGTTTGACTCACACCTTTGACTCGAATGATTCCTCTAGATCTTCCAGCATTAAAGTTTGTTTACCCTCTGGTGAACTAACATACCTATGGAAAATCGCCACTATTCATCGGTAAATCAACTACAGATTGGCCAAATTCAGACGCTTTTAGCACCCTACCTTTTCTGCTGGTTACCACTGCTGGTTTCACCTCTTCAAGTTGGGTGCCACCAGATATGACATTTCTAAACCAGCTGACACCAAGACGAACGGAAACCAAATATGTTGTACACTTAATACACATGAAATACAGGGTATATACCTGCTATAACCTCAATTTTTTCGATGGCTTCATGATGTTTCATGCGATGGTTGAGCCGAAACTGCGAGTTGTCCAGGTCTCCAAAATCCCATTTTTCGGGACCGTACTGGGATGATCCCCACATCCGACGGGCCCCGACGGGCCCCGACACCTTCTCTCCTCCGATCTCTGGGCCAAACCACCAACCGCTCTGATCGGCTCCTGGAGAATCGCAGGGTGTCTCATGGTTTAGTGGAAAAGGACTTAAACTCATATCATCCAGATGAGAAAGTGGGTGGCCATGAACTTAGATTTAACTTATCAAGACTTAAACTCATTAAAACCCCAGTCAAAGTGAAAAAACGTGTCCAGTGGAATCAAACCTCAAGTGTATGAAACTTACCCTGCGGTAATTTAACGTAGCCATGGAAAATCCACCTTTTCAGCAGGTAAATCCTCATAAGTCATCTATACATGAACAATTTTCAATAGCAAACTGTTAAGTCACCAGATGGTATTTTCTTCAAATCCCAATGAATCACATCAAATCCCCATTAAATCCCCTTATATAAATCCCCTTATATAAATCCCCTTAAATCCCCTTAAATCCCATGAATCTTCATGGACTTCTCTGTTAAATTACCAGAGGGTAGGAATCTGCAATTGATCACTTTCATTCTTCCAGTTTGTCAGAATCCCAGGATTGCTACGCAACTTCCAGGCCCCCAGGACCCCCCCCCCAACAAAAACAGCGCGCAGGAATTTAGGCCCCGCGACCATGTCGGGAGTCCCAGAAATAGATCAACACCTGCGGAGGATGTTTTCTGAAGTCCAGCGCGGAGCGAGCTGGCCGGAAATCAAACCTTTTACAGGGGAAAAGAACCTGCAGTTGCTGCACAGGTGGCTGAGATGGCTGAGATATCATATACATATATAGAATACAATAAATATAAGTTATATTTGATACATGGTATATCATACATAGTAATTTATATGTGTTATATATTCAATATCATAGATTATATATTGTATATTGCATAATATACATTATAGATCATATGTCGTACATTCAATATAATAAATATAACATGTTATGTTTTATACATTATAAATTATGCATTATAAATATTATCATATATACTATAGATAGTGTATGAAACACTATAGATATTGTACTATAGATCGTATACTATATACTACATACTACATACTACATACTATATACTATATACTGTATACAATACACTATACACTATACACTATACACTATACACTATACACTATAACCTATATACTATATACTATATACTATACACTATAACCTATATACTATATACTATATACTATATACTATATTACTATATACTATATACTATATACTATATACTATATACTATATACTGTATACTCTACACTATATACTATATACTATGTACTATATACTATATACTATATGCTACGTGCGATCTATAGCATATATCATATACAATATATTCTGTATGCAAGCTATTTTTATACGTAAGCTATGAGTAAGCTATTATATGTCTGTTATTTGTTTATTATAGTGTTATATTAATTGTATAATATCAAATATACAATATATATATATATATATTCGTATGCTTTTGCAGGTTCTGCACCATTTGTTGTCTGGTAGCTGTCACAGACTGCCAGAAGTAGCGGACACAAAAATGAAAGCATGACTGATGGCATGTTTCTGGGTTCAATCCCCTCAAATTCACAAACGACATCGTTCTCTCGATATAAAGCGCACTATGACATATTTATGTCTACATCAAACTCAATATGTTACATGTCATGCTCATCTAACACCAAACGCTGCACAGCTGCACTGGTCAATGAATCCAATTCTGGGATCAAAGCTGCCTGGCCTACACAAAATCCAGCGGCAAAATCCTATTCGAAGAGATTGAAAGCGTAGAATATGTGAAACCACCAACCAATGCCTACTAGTGGGTTGCCAACCCAGTGAATTTGCATGAATTTGCGATTCGTTTCTACTTCCCCATCCTTTTTGGGGGCCCCAAAAATTCTGAGCCACTCCCCGGTCCGCTCTCCCAAGCTCCATCCCAGGTCGCAGAAAGACGCCTGGGGGCTTTGTTTTCCATCCACTTTCCTGCGCGGCAACTTCATCCCAGCACAGATGTGGCAGATATACTGATTTGGTATGCCATCTGTCATCTACCCAGAATGGTTGCGGAAATGTGTAGCGACACATTTTTTCCAGCCAACGAAACTTTGGACGTCATTGATCATCTGTGAAGGTGGTAAATGGATACTAAGGGCGGGTTAATTATAGAATCTAGTGGTTATATAATTGAAAAAATATGGCACATGGTATTATATATTATTAATCTAGATGTGTCATAACCCCACATATATTATATGGCCCATTATATAATTGCAAAATTATATGTGGGGTTATGACACATCGCATGTGTTTTTTTCAAAATGGTTGATCCCCCAAGAAACAATCTATTCGAAAAGAAAAAACATGTTTGCCCCAACTCGGACTTTCGCTATCGAAATAACACACCCCAATATCATATACTTGTCACAAGGGGATGAACGAAAACACTCGCTATACGTAGCGATTTTGACTTTAGGTTTCAGGATTTAGGGTTTAAGGTTGTAGGGTTTAGGGTTTCATTGTTTTGCGAACATGTTCAAATAGATAAGATATCTAAACACAACCAGCCTTTTCTAGGTCCCAACAGCTCCTCCAATGACTTGACAAATTCCCCCGATGGCCCTTTGGTCCTCTCCCCGGGTCTCTGGATTGCTAGTGGATTTATGTTGGTCGCATCTCCTTTTTTTTGATATGTGTGTGTGTGTACATATTATATATATATACATACAATATGTATAGATATACAGTATACACATACATACCCTTCTCTTGATATAGATACACATCAAATCATATTCAAGAGTTGGCATAGATAGACAGATAGATAGATAGATAGATGGATAGATGGATAGATAGATAGACGGATGGATAGTTAGATAGACAGATGAGAGAGATAGATAGATAGATAGATGGATAGATGGATAGATAGATAGATAGATAGATAAATAGATAGATAGATAGAAAAATAGATAGAAACATAGATAGAAAAATAGATAGAAAAATAGATAGATAGGTGATAGATAGGTAGATAGATAGATAGATGGATAGATGGATAGATTAGATCGATTAGATAGAATAGCTAGAATAGCTAGAATAGCTAGAATAGCTAGAGTAGATAGAGTAGATAGTTAGATACAATATGCTACAATTACATCCGCCTAAAACCTCTGCCTACTATCATGCGTATCTCTTCAGGAATACGTCCCTACCTTTAATGTGCCGCTCCTGTACACAGGTTTGTTGTGGTTGGAAGTCTCTGAGGCATACTCGCCGCAAATGATGCCCCGGACCTTGGTGTCGGCGAAACTTCTTGGTTGGGTTGGATAGAAAAACAATACAGTAAAGTAAAGGCCACAACCTGAAATTTGGAACTTTTTTTTTGGATGAACTTGATGAGTTCAGTTTGATTATTATGACTTCACCAACTTCTTATACTTATGGTTGAGTTGGACTTTGGAATGAGTTTGGTATGGATGATGTGTCCATATGTTTCAATATGGTTTTTCATGGATTTCCCGTGGTTTTCCGTGAGTTTCCCATGGAAACTCTGGCCCTTCCCAAGGCCCAACGGCGTTATGTGTGCAGCCCGAAACCTTGAGCTTCATCGAAGTCATTGACCTGGGAGAGCATAATGTTGAAGCATCGATGCGTTCATATATATATATGCAACTATATAGATATACATTCATATATATACATCATACAGACATATCATACAGTATATATACACACCTGGAACAGCCTGCACATATGGGAACTAGTACCAAAACCATCTGTATGGATATATCTATCTATCTATCTATCTATCTATCTATCTATCTATCATCATATATCATATAAACAGAATCACAGCATAGAGGGCATCTCTGAGCCCAAATTTCTTGGATTCCGGACACCTTGCGTGGTGCCTGGCATCGACATATCCCAATGTTGGGATCATTGCAAGGTGGTGATAACAAAGAAGGCCTGAAAGTACCCTGTGGTAATTTAACATAGCTATTGAACATGGCCCATTTATAGTGGATTTTCCCATTGAAAATGGTGATTTTCCATAGTTATGTTAGTTTACCAGAGGGTAACTATAAAATACTATAAAGCTGCACTTGAAGATCCCAAATGTGTGCTTGTGTCACTCATCTTGTCACCTCCAAAGTCATGGAGTTATACTACAGTTATACAGAAAATCTTGGAGTCAGCACTGAAATGGAGGTTTCCTAAAAACTAGACGACGGTTGGCCCGAGAGCGAAAAAGATGTTTTTCAAGCAGCTCTGAGGATGGTAGTCGTAAAAGATAGTCGGTGAATAGTTGGTGAATTTTATATGAGCTATGGAAAGATATGGGGTGAAAAAGTAAGATTGATCAAGAAGAGAATATTTGGTAAAGGGCATCAGATGACATGTGTCTTGCAACCACAGAGAGAAAGAGGGGGCAGAGATAAATAGAGAGAGAGAGAAAGAGAGAGAGAGAGAGAAAGAAAGAGAAAGCAAGAGAGAGAGAGAGAGAGAATGAAAGGGGGGGGTAGAAAGAAAACATGGAGAAATGTAATGTGAGCAACAAAAGTGCACAGGAGGCTCAGTACCATGAGTCTGCGAATGACATGTGCTATCTCATTTTATTATAGTAATTCCCACACACATTGCGGAAAAAGGCTCGGCACCATCATTCCGTGAACGCGAAGAAACGCGACGCTTTTATACAGAGACGCTTTTACACACGGAATCTTTTACACATAAACACTTTTACACACAGACGCTTTCACACAGAGACGTTTTTCATGCACACACACAGACGCATTTCCACACCGAGACTTTTACACGAAAACACTTTAACACACAGACGCTTTTATACACAGACACTTTTACACACATACGCTTTTACATGCAGATGCCTCTTTACAGACGCACACATACTTTCACACACAAACGCTTTTACACACAGACGCTTTTGCACACAGATACAGACGCTTTTCCACACAGACCCTTTTACACACAGACGCTTTTACACACAAACACTTTTACACACATACGCTTTTACACACGGACGCTTTTACACACAAACACTTTTACATACAGACGCTTTTACACACAGACGCTT